GGGAGCCCGCCCCCACGGCTCCGCCTCTGCGCCGCCCATTGCGCCATCTGCCCGTCACTCAGCTCAGCCTCTGCTGTGATTGGGCAGCTTTCAACGAGCGGCTCGGTGATAGCCGCCCACTTTCCGCCCCTGTCACCCGGCCACACGCGCACACATTCCGTGCAGTGATTGGCCTAACTCTGATTGGTGCTCCCTGGGATCAATCAACCACACCTCTTCGCCGTCTCGTCGTGTCATTGGTGAAAAGGACAGAGGGCGGCAACTGCACTCGCCCTTTGATTTTATTGGCTGGTCTGAGGGATGCATATCGAGCCGCGGGGCAACTATATTAGTCCAATCTCTGGTTTAAGAAGGTGGGACGTACTGGCCATCGCTCGAATCCCGGGAGAACCTTCTGGAACCCATGTAACGTCAAAGGCAGCCTTAAAGGAAAACTGCGCCCACCAGTTGGCCGTGACAGCGGACATTCTTTTCCTTTCATTTAGGGCAGGAGAGAGAGGGGAAAAAATAGTGTACTCTGGGAGGTGTAGTCCCCGCGAAAGGCCAAAAGGTCACCTCTTCTTGTCTTCCACCAACAGTGAAGCGACCTCTACCTGACCTGATTTGCTTTACCCTACCTTGACCGAAGTTCATCTGACACCACCTGAATCTCAAAAAGGACCTCGATACACATGCAGTTTCACGCCCTTCTGATCTCTTTGTCAGTGACCTGGGAGCCCTTCCCACATAGCACCTGCAGGATTCTCTTTCCGATGCCTCTACCCACCGTCCAGTTCCCTCATCATAGCTCTCTTTAGACCAATCCCTTCTCAGCAAGCCTCACAGTCCCCATCTCAGTCCCGGCTGAGTTCCTGTATTTTAGCCCCTTCTCGGCCCCCTATAATCTCATTTTGCCCCTATGATCTCTCTTGTCCTATTCTTAATCCTTCCTCTACACGATCTGTTCTCTCTCCCGCGTTTAACCCTTCATCTTATCTTCCCATGGTCCCCTTTCTTAACGCCCTCAGAATCTCTCAACTCAGGACCCCCCTCCCCAATTAAATCATTAAATCTCAGCCCCAGTGTCCCCGCTGCTCCGAACAGGCGGGGACTGCGGAGGCGGTCG